TTATTCTGCCATCAGGGCAATGAACTTCATCCCTACAATGGTTAATGAAACGAAGGCGTTTTGGAAAACCCAGTAAAACTGACCAAGTGGACAATCCGGAGTGGCTTTGGCAACGAGGAATTTTCGTTGGTTGAGATGTGACTCGTAAACAGTCAATCTCTCAATGTTTCGATTTGGTATAACAACTACGTTGTTCGCCTCCAGTTCCGGCTGTTCGCGTCGTTCCAGCCAAGTCACTATATCTCTTTGCAGCTCTCTCGACACAAGCGGCTTGTACCGAATACCAGACTGCCCGTTACCCGTGATTACCACCTTCAAGCACTATAGTGAATAAAAAGGAATTAACATTTGCTATAAAAAACATTATTAGTGCTCCACACTTCCCAGACCTCCACCTCGGGATGCGCAGTGTTCTTCGATGTTGCTAAGTATTAGCGGTGCGCCCACCATGGACTGGTTTTGATCCTCGACGGGAGGATTACATTTATTATCTTTAGACAGGCATGCATGTAGTACATTATTGCAACCTTAGCAGATTAAATGCACTCCTGTACTATCGCGGCTTGTACGGACGCAAAACAGGTTGTGAGTACATAAGCATAGGGCGCGACCGCTCCGCACAATGTTTCAAAATCGAATTTAAAGGAGTCAGATATGCAGCACAACAAAAGAAATTCAAACATTTTCAATAGTCATTCCCGGTGAGCGTATTTTGAATCCATGCCGACGATTATTTTCAAACCGGCTTGCTCCAAGTGTTGGTTTTCTAGTCAAATCGTTATACACTACATCGATACCGTTCCAGAAATTGTCTCTAATATACAGATTTTGAAATGTATGATAATTCCAATCAATTTGCAATGCCGGGCTAAAAACCGGGATTCGAAAATCAAAAAGGCCGGCTTTCTCGATAATCCATCTGTCCATGGAGCTTTGCCCAGTGACTGACGGTGGATTTGCAAGAAGCGAATAACGTACTCCACTCCAGCGGGGCTCCAAACATCGTAATCCTACAAAAGACAACGTAATGAAGCGTGCTCATGCGAATTATCTCTAACTCTTGCATACAGAAAACAGTAAACAAAATTCTAATACTGTAATCGGTTAAACCTTTGAGCAATTGCACTATGTCGACTTTCGGAGGCCGAGAAGGACATGTCTTCTTCACGAAAAAACAGCATAAAACCAAACCGACAACTTCAGTTGCAGCGCATGATGCAGCAATGTTGTGAATTATTCCATCATGACGGCAACGTGTAATATCGTACTCCCTTTCTTCGCACCGAATGTTATCCATGAGCATTGGAAGATCGCCTTGCGATGGATATATACGCCAGTTCTCAAAACTTTCTGGATCCGTTATAAGACCAAGCTGATTGCAAGCCAACAGTGCCAGGTGTTGCGTCCAACTCCTATTACAGACTGTACCCCACTGACCGTCAATATTCACTTCCAGACGACCAGCAAGAACCTACAAAGCCCATCAAACAAAAAAGAAAATGCTTCGATAATAGTCACAATTAACAAAAAAATGGATTTTTTAATACCATGACTCGATTGGGTCAAAGCAGTCATGAGGAGGCTTTCAAGACGCCAGCGCCACGATAAAACGACTACTTCTCAAGCTATAAAATCAGTCTTCGTTCGTCTCAACAAAAAAAAAAAGACCATCATACTCGCTCGCGCTTGAAATATACGAGCCAGTATGGCGGTCACAAGTCAGTATGATGATGTTCCTTCAAGTAAGTGATTTGTGCGTGCGTGTGTATGTGCGCGCACAGGCGCACAAATACGCACACAAATCACTAACCTGAACGAACACCCATTCTGCACGAAAATTTAAAGTGTTTTTTTTTTCTTTTACAACTAACCTCAGTGTTGTCATTGTCATCAACAAGGCGGATATTTGGAGGATGGGGCAGAACGAACGGCGCACTTGTGAATTTGACCATTTCATCCGACGTGTGTAAATCCGTCCGCGCTAGTTCTCCCTGAAAAATAATTGTATTTCATTTTGTGCATTTATGTTAACCATTTTTTATGCGTTTTGCGCTGTATAACAGCAGCATAAAACGCATACTGTTACATCTTTGTCTGTGTGTGTTTGTATATATATATATATATATATATATATGAGTGTGTGCGTTTATATATGTGTGCATGTGTGTTTCCAATTGCATTTTGTCCCACATTTTCAACCCAGAAACCATGAAAGCTGGGAAGCTGAAATCTTAACAGAATGTTTCCCGCAAACGTGCGACCCCGAGATTCAGCCCTCACATGATCTCAAGTATCATGTAAGATTCTACGGAAGTTTTGGCAAATTATTATCTTGGGAGCGAGAAGAGCTAGAAGAATAAAAAATTTAACAGGATGTTTTTCGCTTATGCAGGGGCCCAACAAGCTCAAATTTAGCTCTGAATTACGGCGAAGTTTCAGGTGCGATCATGCGAAGGTTTTGGCACGAAATTTACTCTGACGCCAGAGAACTAGAAGGTTGAAATCTTAGAACGAAGTTCGCCGTCCAAGGCTTTAAGTTCAGCTTTCAAGTACGTCTGTGTTTCATGTACCAGCAGGTGAAATTTTTAATGGGGAATTTCGTAGCTTAGGAAACAAACAACATATCGACTATTTTTACGCAGACCAAAGTGTAAAACAGTGAAGATCCTTAGCAGACAAACTCCGCTGTATGAAATTGCGCAAAACCCGTGGTCATACTCGTCACCCTGGCGCGCACTGCTATTTATACTTCTTACTAAAGCTGTCCGTGCTGGAATAGCATTCAGCGACGAAATTAGGTCAGTGCTAGGAGTTAATTTTTGCACCAAATATAAGCAGTTGCTGAAATCAGATGTTTTGAAAAAACTTTTGGACTACACCTGAACAAGCATACCGACACCGTTGTTGAACTGCAGTACGGTTCCCGGTGAGACAGTAAGACGTGCTCCAGGAACGACATTCAAATCATCGGTCACTGTATATAGGCCTCTTCCCAAATCTTGATTTTCCCAAACAGTACCACCTAGAATAAGCGGTTCACTGTCCTTTCGAAATAATCGATAGTACTGCTGCACAGTAGTGATATGAGGCCGTCGCTGATTACACACAGCAGCAAATGGATTCACCTAAAATCGCCATTTTTTTCATCAACCACTCGGGATTTTCTGTCTACAACGGATGAAAGGACTGAAGAACGAACCACTGTTTCCCATAAATGGCTAGAAAACAACGATGATAAAATCAACATCACTACAGTCGGCACACAGACACTCCAACCACATTCACACAGAAGCAATAAGTATGGAACATGTGCAAGCATATATGTATATATGTATATGTATAACCTCGGCGCCGTTA